CAGGTAAAATATCATTAACTATTTATTTATAATTTTTTTCTCCAATGTGTGTTACATTGATTTCCATGACCCTAAGAATGACTGGCATCTTATTTCTCCTTACAATATCACCCTGAATCACACACTAAGGTCATAAGAATAAAGCAAGTGATCAGTAACTAAAGAAGCCCTTGATTGTTGAACAAATTCTCCTTGTCATCACCATAAGAAATGTATAGAGAACAGTTTGGAGAATAGTTATGCTTTAATTTGCTAATTATTTTATTGTGATTTCAGACTTGTGAAAGGTTAGAAGAGGAAAGAATAACACATTTAAGAGAGATGTTCTCATTATATAGTAACATGTTGGCTGCCGCAATACCTCAACTGCAGCAAGTAAGAATATCATCAGATTTTCAAAATTTAGTGGCTTCTTTGTTCTTCCATGTTAAGGAATTTGCTCACAATTCATTGACTTACATCATATTTTGAACAGAAGATGATAACCAGGTTTATAAACATCAAGTAATTAAGTGATTGGTATTTTTCATTTCTATCTCATCTTAAGGCACCGCACAATGGACTTGGTAGAAGCATCAATTATTTAATTAGGAAGTTTGTATTAAAACCAATAGTATATCCTTCCCTTTAGCTTACACTCCTGGAGATTTTCAAGGACTAGAAAAAACAAACTCTTGCAGTACCTTCAAAAAAAGTGAAACTGACAATTTTCATGTTGCGATGGTAGATATTAAGTATTTTTATTACACATGGCAGAATTATGAGACTGTCAGCTCAGAGGTGTGGAAAATCAATTCTTCTGAAGATGTTATCACAACAGCTCAAACAAGAGGAGAACCACGAGGTCCTTCTCAGCAGATCCTGTATGACTGTTATGTAAGTTCATGAAAACAATTAACCATAAACTATGTAATTTGGTATTTTCAATTGCATTGGCAATGTTAATTGGCCACCCTAAAAGAGTTTCAATGCTGACGTCTCAAGCATTAGCCCTTTCGTCAGTGAGAGTGAATGACGAAGGGCTAATGCTTGTAACGAACCCTTCTCTTTAGAAATTTACCCCCTTTATTCAACCGTAAACTGTGTTGAATGAATCACCAAATTGTGATGTCTCATGTGAAAATGATAGTTGAAAAGTATAGTATTACATACCGTATAGAGTAATTTATTTTTAAATTCACCTAGGAGGAGGACTTGGAGAACACCATGAATTATGACAGGAGAAGAGCAGGGTTAGAGACAAAGATTCATCTTTTGTCAGAATCACTGGAGAAACAAAAGAAGACAAGAGATGGTAATATGGAACTATAAATTAATATCATCCTCTATCATATTTTCTTTCATACTCTCACTAAAGAAATTTAGACGTGTGGAACTACAGTACTATAAGTTTTATTTTTTAATTTTTTATGATCACAGTTTATTTCAGTCAGTAAGATGGTGGTGGACCAGCATATTTTTTGGAAATTTTTGTTCTCAACCTCAATTGTGAATGGAGAATATTATCATGGGCTGCTTATAAATAACTTTAATAATTTAGACTCAACTTCTCCTAATTCATATGTAACTTGACTTCTGTAAACTTACAATTAGTCTCTTTTCATTTAGGGATAACTTCTCTCTTTGAGGCATACTCTGCAACTCCTGATTACTGTAATGAAGAAGGCCAACAAGATGTTGCCACACAACTGATACATGTAATATATTACCTCAGTCTGATATTAACTTCCTGATTGCTAAAGTTAACAAATCTTGTTTTCTTTATCAACCTATTATAGCCGCATGTGTTGTACTTTCCAGGCAAATGCTATAATAAATAGTTTAACAGCAAGTGTCAGTAAAGTTCAATGTGCCCTGGCACAGTTGAATGGTCACCCTGCACCAGATGTTTGGTTAATGCCATACATATCAAGCACCAAGGATAAACAGGCAAGTTCCCTCTCTTTGTTACCTTTTCACAGATAGTTGACTACTCGGAACAGGCTTCTTACAATATTTGATATCAATATCAAGTACTGGGTTGATAATGGATTGAAAGGTCTTCCATTGCCTTCTGGTTCAAGGTGATTTTGTCTTGTTCTTCCAGAAGGACAGTTAAATGAGTCTCTTAAAGTGTGTCTTGCCAACTAGAATTATGAAAAGGTTTTAGCAAAATTGCGATATTTCTACTGTTTGATGGGATAGTTTGAGTGCACCAGGTGATTCATTAATACAAGGGCATATTCCTTGGAGTTTGTTGCAGTTTTGTTCCATAGGCAGCTGGTGACATGTTCACCCTTTTGCCTCACTCCCATACCCCTCCAGGAAAAACTAAATCATGTTTTTAAGTTAAGCATGAAATTAATCGGCCTTAGAACAACAGGGCTCTGATTTCTCACCCGTGCTGCTTCTAATGACACCCACTATATAGTTTATACCCTCTCTTTGAATAATAAAGGAACTACCAGTAAGAAGTATTAGAGCTTAGTTGTACCACAATTTATGGTCTCTAATATAGGGCTTACTACAGAGTTCTCTCTATATTCCACTTGATCAAGTAACAAGAATTGAGTCTGTCACACAGGATGAGGGAGACAACAGAAGTAAGAAACTACATATCCGGATCAATATCAGTATCTGGGCAACTGCCCACCTACCCCTCCCCTAACTCAACAACAGTCAATTGATAACAATTTAGGGTTAATGCTCGGTTAGGGGAGGGGTAGGTGGGTAGTTGCCCAGATACTGATATTGAATCCCATCATCCTTAGTGTTTTACCATATTGGTCTACTAGATTAACTTGACTCAGGAGTACAGTCTTTGGCTTTAACCTTTACACCCTAACATCAGAATGCATATTCTCCATACTGTTCACTGTACATTCCCTTAAGTGCTGACAGGGAGAATTTGTTAACAATCAAGAGCTCCTTTAGCTACTTATCATTTCCTTTATTTCCATGACCTTAATGTGTGATTCAGGGGTAATATTGTGAGGAGAATTTAGATGCTAGTCACTCCTAAGTGGTCAAAGGGTCGAAAGACATAATTATGCAAGTTCCAGACACTTTCACTCCAAGGACTAGGTTTACCCAGAGACTACAGTGTCATTAAGACTAAGATATGATTAAGACTGTCGGTCATTTCATGGGTCCTTTGCCTTGTGATGAACCAAATGTTATGACTTGCTGTTTTGAGCTTTAATTACTATATGTGGAATCAAAGGGATGTATTGAGACCTCTGTCCTTTAATTATTTCAGGTGATGATGAATTTGATGATATTCCAGAATCAACTGGTGAGTTTCAGTGCGCGTTCAATGAGTTTCCCTCTAATGTAGCTCAAGCAAAACAATGAGAACTGCACATGATCATGGGAAGACCACAGGGGGAATCTGCGCCATTGAAGCCAAGTTCTATTAATGAAAAACATGATACATGGTTGCCTGTTGATTGGCACACTAGATTCATGTTCAAACTTCGCCTAGTATCATCATGTCGCCTTTGTGTTCTTTGAAATATTTAATATTGTGGTTGAGTTGGAAGGAGCCTGGAGATGTGCACATTTTTCTGGAAAGTTGAAGATTTTGACTGACATTGCTGTCAAGATGAATAACTCAATCACATATTAAAAGATTTTGTATTTATTGCTTTTAATTAGGGATATGCAGATGCCGTGCATTGTATGAATACAAGGCAGCTCATAGTGATGAACTTGATATATTACCTGGAGATATTATCACACTAACGGCTAAAATGGATGATGGATGGTGGCAAGGAGAACTTCATAACAAAACAGGCATATTTCCTGCCAGTTATGTGGAGGAGATTGGATGACCAGATATTTCATACCAAGAGAAAAAAATATAGCAAGTTTCTGGTTTTTGCTGTTTAATTAATTGTTTTTGGGACGTGGAGCTTTCATAGCAGGTGAATGCCCCATTTGCTGTTTACTTGTTCCAGGGTTTTGATATTGAGATTATCTAATTTGGTGCAGCCACAGGGTGTATTTCATTAAGTCTTTGTGGCAGATTTTCTACCATTCACATTCAAAAATTTTCAGGGTTATAACTGGAGACACCAAGTGATATACTTAGCCCAATGAGAAACAAGAAAATAAATGAGGAAAGGCATAGCTTTGTTTGTACTTAAAAAACATTGCCATGGGCAATTTAAGCATTTTTTTTAATGTAGCTGTTACACTAGCTCTTAGAAAAAAGAAACCTTTTTTAGCAGTGAATACTTAATTTAAAGCCTAAATTATGTTCCATGATTTAGTTTTCTAGAAGCCTCGTCAATGGATTTAGAATTCATTGTCTAATTTTAAGAATGGCCAACTGAACCAAATGACAAACAAAATATAGAGATTTAAGGTTCCAGCAACAGGGAAAAATTTGTTGTCAATGAACAAGGATATGTTCTGTGGATGCATTCTTGTGGGAATGATCATATATTGCTGATTGCAATCTTTTAATTAGTTCAATTTTATGCTTAATATATTCTTCTTTAGTAATGGTGTCTTTAATTCCAGGTGATGTTGATGTAAGTATATTGGAGTTCAAAGCTATGTTATAAACTTTTTTAAAAATTTTTCAAAAATTTAAATTTTTAACCTTATAAGAAAAATTTTATGTTGTCCAATCATGTGGTTGATGAGAGGCTTCATGTACAGGCAAGCATTGATTAAATTCAAATGATGTTTGAGGTGTTAACCCTTTAAGCCCCGGTATCAACATGTATATTCTTGTCACTGTCCTCCATAAGTTTCTTATTTTACTGATTAAGAGAATTTGTTCAAACGTCAAGACACTTCATCTTTGGTGATCATTTAATTCATTCTCATGATCTGTACATTTGATCAGACAATGATGTTGTTAGGAGAAATTAGATGCTGATCATTATTGGGGCTTAAAGGGTTAATTGGATTGCTAATGCACCATAACCAAACTCAATTACCTCTTCTTTGAACATTGAAGAAATAAATGTTAAAGTTGCTCTGTTTCTAATATTTATTTTCAAAGACTGTTCAGTTCAATATGGCTCTTTATTTACTCTTGCACCAACAAACAATGATCCAGGAGGATATAAGGTCTGTAGAGATCTGGGAAACACACTACAAAACACTACCACCACCAAATAAGACAACTGCCAAGACAGATTTTTCCCTCTTATTTAATCTTAGAAGTCAACAACAGTTTTAGACAGTCAAATGAATAAAGGGGGTATGTTTGTAAAGAAACTGTGATGCTACATCAGTGGGAGAGTATAACAGGGTAAGCAAGTGAGTTGATAAGATAAATTGGCCACCATAAAGAGTTTGAAAGCTGATGTTTCAAGCATGAGCCCTTCATCAGAGCAAACTATTTGACATTGTGGATGCAAAATTTAAGGCTTTTTCTTTCTCTATACAATTTCCTTTATTTGCTTTTGCAAGACTCAAAATGTGACAATATACAGCTAAATCTTGGGAAATGGATTCCATTGTGCACCTATTTCCTGCATTTCTCTAGTTAGGAATTCTGAAATTCACAAGTCTTTTTATGGAAAGGAAAAACTCCCTACCAGTGATTTTCCAATTTTTATATGTCAGGAAATATAATTTGCAGATTGCCATTAAGAATTCCTGACCTGGTCCTCGAATCATGTAATGTTGTTTCACTCTGTGTCAGGTCCTGAAGATGTACTAAAAAGCACGAAAAATTACACACTCCTTTAGAGATGTTCCTTTTATACACTCTTTTATCATGGCTAAATCCCACACCGCAATCTTTATAAACATATCTTTGTCTGAGTTGCAGATTGAATGTCTAAATTTTTGTTTCTACCAAATCTTTAAATTTTCTCCTCATGGCAACAACAAATGCAGAGAAGTTATTTGTGCTGTTCAGCTTTTCCACCATCTCAGGAAGTCCTTTGACCTCTGGCATACAATCCTTCACTGTAAATAAGAATTGACTATTATTATTTGACTCTGCACTACAGTGGATCTTAATTAGTCAACTTTAAACATTTAATGTGTTTAACTAATACATGGATTGGCCATTTTGAATTTGTCATTTAGTTGCCATTTTCAACTGACTTTTCTAGTCTTCATTAAATACTGTTCTAAGTAATGCTAAGATTTGTTAAGAAGAAGTTGGATCAGACAAGCACTTGGTGTAAGTAAAGGATTATAGAACATGATTGTAACAACACGATGAACATTTCAGTGACTGAGGGTTTTACCATTGTACTTGTCCAGACTGGTAACTGCCACAGTGAAAACAAAGGGCCTATCTTCATCTTTTGGGTCAATGTACTTGAACACAAACTGTAAATGTTCCTCTGTGAAGTGGAAGAGGTTCAGATCACTTATTAAGTATATTGATGCATTCATTTTTGTCATTTTTTTGGTTGGGGGGGGGAGGGGGTGGGGTATAAAATGGAATTTGCCACTTAAGCCATTAGCCTAAATAGATAAGGAGATAAATGTTTATTTATAATCGCTTTGCAACTGAAAAATTGAATTACACGATTATTACAGAAGATAATAACACTGAAAAGAACTATCGGTAGTTTAAAGCAAGTTTGTACAAAAATGTGTTTGTATATCTTACGTTTGTAAGTAAAAAATGTCGATTAAATTCTAGTAAAAAAGTTTAGGCTGTAAGGGCATTAAAATGCTACAACTGTTGCGAATTATTTGTGTCTTGAACACAGGTCTAAACTTCCGTTTGTTTCTAGGGTTCAAAGTACTTGTGGTACGAGCAGTAAGAAGGTCATGGAGCTTGTTCGGTTCACTCTGAATAATGTTCATGAATAATTTATCAACTAGTTCCTAACGGCGGTCTGAAAGTTTCATTTAGCCTGATTCAGCCAATGCCTCATTATTTAAGTAAAATGGTAAGATGATGTGCGTTGTTCTCTTTTGTACTCTTCAGTACCAGGTTACCATAATCCAGTCCAACTTCCTTATGCAATATTAGCAATTTTTTAAAATGCTTTTAATAACCTACCATCCACCTTCTTGAAGGATAATCCTAGTCTTTCTTTGAAGTACTCGGTACCTTTGGTAAACTGTTTAATCTTGTACGATGTGCTCTGCTCCTTAGCAGATACTTCTGCAAGAGTTCATTTGACCACTGGTTAATTTACAACTGAGATTATTAGTCTCCTGTCAGCTTAGCAGTGCTTAGTGTGGCTTGATCTTGTTTCAAAACTCGTAAAGTTTATTTGTAGATGTGTTGAAAACTAAGCAAGTATGATCTAAGCATGTTTAACAAAGGTGTCTTTCGAGACACTTCTCACTGCAGAAAAAATAAACTTTTCCTATCACCTCCATTTTCACTAGTCTCTATCTTGCAAAACGTGGTTTAACTACACAAGTAATTTACGTACCTTCTTGTTGTTTGCGGAGTTGACACTCGGTTTCTTCAAAATGTTTTTGATTTTGATTCCTTTGTTCTACCAAGCGTTCCGCTGAAATCTGTAATTCTCGCAGTTCTCGTTCCAGATTGGCAACTTCTTCAGCCCTCTGCCGTAGAACTACAAACATGTCGGAAACCTTTGATTTATGTCTGCTTTTATCAATTTCATCGTTTAGAAGTCAGGTCAGAAGTAAACACGATAACTTCGTCTACTTGCGTCTTACCTTCTAAATTCTTCTCGCTCTGAAAATGATACTGATTGATCGTCTCTTCTAGATGCCTCATCTCCTCTGTAAGTTGGGGATAATAAGAAAATTTGGTAATTTTATACTGCTGTTTCATTACAATCTTCGTTATAAACACAGTTACCTTTCCCTTTCGCTAGTATGTTTTCGTGATTCTCTTTGTCCTCGAGACGAGCTTTTCGAAAAGATTCCCCAGTCCAATCGTTAAGGTATTTATCTTGTACTTTCTTCAAATTTACAGCTAAATTTTCCAGCTCTTCTTTCGTAACAGATTCCATTTTATTTCGTTGTGAAACTCGAGGATTTTTTTTTTCCAGTGGGAAAAGTTCGCGGTGAAATTTCAATTTTCAGTTTCAACCAATTAAATTTCCTTATAACATCACGTGCCTATTGACTCCGCCGGATAGCTCACGTTTATTGCTGGCTCACTGTCGTCCGCTATCTTGTAACCTTTGAGGCAGAGTAGGGAGCCCACAAGATGCGCAAATTAAGAGTTACTGAATACGTTTTGTAGTTATTTTTCAATTAAAACTGTTATAGATGACCTTAAATCTTACATAATGACACAACGAACTCAATATTTTTGACAAGCTTTCCACTATGAGCACGGCAAACTGGCAGGTATTGTGGTCTCCAAACCAACACGACAAGTTTATCACCTTCGGAAGTGAAATATGTCTTTACAAAGTCAGCAGGTCTCAGGTAAGGTGATATATAGAGAATTTTGCATAATTTTTCTTGATGGAAGGCCAGTTTTTAGAATAAAAGCAAATTGTTATTTCGCCCATCGATTATAGGATGATCATGTGCCTAAACAAGTCCTACGGAAAATTTAGGGGGTGGTACTTGGTGGGTTAGACATATCAAAGTTCACTTCCATTCAACGATCCAAGTATCAGGAAAAAGATTGTGTCAAACACTTTTTCCCAATGTCCTGGGTAGTTTCTTGCATATCTTTCTCCAAAAAATACGCAGAAGTCTCTACAATGATATCCTTAGATCATCAAAGCATCAACAAAAATTTGCAGCAATGTACACTATATTAAACATTTTTGTTTCTTAACTGACTGGTTTCAGGAAAGTCCACCAACGGCTGCAGGTGTAAGAAGCCAAGGTATATAGTTTTACCTCAGTCTGTTCCTTGCCTTTGCCCTGCATTTCAATATTGTCCTTGGTTCAAGCTTTTGTTAATATGAATTTTCACTTGTAAAATATTTTATATCTTTCTTCTTATGATTTCAGTAATGCATCTTTCTGGAGATACCTATGCATCACTTTTATCTGTTGTGAATGATATACAAAATTTAAAGGTAACCAGTTCAATTAAAAGCTAAAAATATATATTTGTTTTTTGGTTCACTTTATGTTTTGATTGTCCAAAACCTTCCTTTATTAAATGGTTTGAGTGACTAAGACATAATTTCTCCTTACAGTATCAATATAATATGAAGCAGACAATATCAAAATTTCCAAACTTACGTCGTAGGAATTGTATGGCAGACAGTAAGGAAAATTGCTAATTAGATCTGGGTTTTAATGCATTGTGTTTTTCTCCTGGGAAGACATTTCACTCTTCAAAGTTCCCAAAATCACTCATCATTTGGGATTTTCCCATACATATGAAAACCACCCTTATCTCATCTGGAAAACACCACAGAAATCAATTCTGATGTTTACTTCTACCATGACTGAAAATGGGAGTCACTATAACAAACAACATTTAACTTTTCAGGACTGCTTTCTCCTGCACTCGTTATAAAACTATATGTCAATCAAACATTATTCCGTTTACTATAAGTTCTGGCCAGGTTGGCTACAAGTAAAAGTGTTTTCTGTGTTTTCACAGTGTGTTGCTTGGTATCCAAAATCAGAACCAGAAAATTTATTAGCAGTTGGACAAGCAAATGGAAGAGTTTTAGTCACAAGGTAAGAATTAACAAAACATGTTTCTATAAATGGTAAAAACAATGGATGGACATTCATTAGGAACAACTTCAGGAGAATCATACAGCAGCAGACTGCAAAGAGAACATGTGAATAAAGGGGGTAAATTTCTAAAGAAACTGTGGTGCTGGGTTGGTGGGAGAGTATAACAGGGTAATTTAGTATTATCAACTGAGTTGATAACGTAAATTGGCTGCCCTAAAGAGTTTAAAAGCTGTCATTTTAAATGTTAGCCCTTTGTCAGAGTGATTGATGAAGGGCTAATGTTTTGAAATGTCAGCTTTTAAACTCTTTATGGTAGTATTATCAACACAGTTGATAATACTACTTTACCCTGCAAAGGGAACACATCTTCAACATGTGTTAATCACAACTGTTAAAAACCAACTTGCCATAGTATTGTGCAATGCTTCAGAAGGTGAGGAATGTCATGACTGGTGGACCTCATTCCTAGGGTTGTCGCTAAGTAAAGATCATCCACAGGAACTATTAGCAGGTGATCATTGGTAAAGTAATGCAAGCACTTCTGTGGTTACATAGTATTACCATTGTTTGATATTCAAACACTATCTTTGAGCCATCATGCTTGAAATTTCAGTTTCTAAGCTATAACCCTGAATCCCTTGAGCAATACAACTGAAATGTTGTTTTCATTCTTTGTTTGAGATAAAAAAGTGAAAACCACCAAGTTATTAATCATTTTAACTTACAGCAAACATCTATAAAAATATGTCTGAGTGATATTTTCTCAGGCATATTGTTCACAATGAGGTAAACATCGGTCACTTTTCAATGGAAATGATTAAAAGTAAATAATTTGTTAATTACTTATCATTATTGTCTTCTCTTTCAGCATTGGAAAAGAAAGTAATCAGTCAAACCAAAGAATTTCTAGAGAATTTGGTAAGAATCATTTGATTTCAAACTTACAAATGCCGGGATTATGAAATTAGTCATGTTGTGTTACTTAGTACTTTCTTTTAAAAGTGTGACAATAAGTGGTACTGGTAGTTTGATATTTTGTATAATTGTGAAAGGATTTCATCAACTGTTATTACATGACATTAATTAAAAATTTAAACTTTAAAGTCCCCAGGCATTCACGGCAATGTAACAGCCTTGCATGGAATCCTGTTGAAAACAAATTGGTATGTTAATTATCTTCTTGATGAGGTCACAAGGGATTGGTCCAGGTACAACTTTTACCGGTAACCCTTTTATTCCCACAAGTGACCAAGAAAAAATTTCTACTCACAATTTCAATATGATATCAAGCAGACAAATGATGAGAATAAAGACAAATATCATTTAGGAGATTATTGCATGTCCAATATCAAATCCTCTTAGTTCACATCATCAGAACTGAGCCCACTAAGGAGAATTATCAGCAAGATTTTGGGAGTGAAAGTGTTAAGGCTCAACAAATGTCAGGCTACCGGGGGCTAATTTCAAATTTCAGCTAAAAGGAGGGGTGCTTTTTGGAATAGCAGGGCTTAATCTAAGGGGACGCTTGTTAAGGTAACCCAGTAAAAATTAAAAGAACAGATAGCGCATATTATACAAACTCTGCAAGCGCATAGAAATAGAAATAATAGGAAGTGACTTAATGCTGTAGTTGAAGCTTGAAAAATTGTAATTAAAGTAGGAATAGAAACAGGTTTTTTTTAGGTATCCCTACAATTAAGATGGTGAAGGTGGGGGAAGGTGTGCTTACTTGAGAGGGTGCTTGCATGACTCCATGTCCAAGGGGGGGGGGGGGGGGGAAGTGCTCATTCAAGGAAGAGCAACTATTCAGGAAATACAGCATTCAGACCTAGGGGGACCCTCCTCTTTCTTCTCCCCCCCCCTTCACCTCTACCCCTACCAAGTCTTGGTAAATGTAAATGTAAATGTACATGTAAGTCAAGAATGGGATGGGTACAGCACAATTTTATCAAAGACATAAAGGCAAAAACACACCTGAGCTTAGCAAGCATAGGCAGCAAAAGAGAAAACTGCACTACAGATTCTTAGAATGTGTTTGCTAGACACATTTTCATCTTCTTGTTAGATTGCCTTTATTACTTATATGCAATCCCTCCAAAATTCAGGAAAGTTGTTTTACCCTGGCCTGTGTGACCATTAATTAATGTTTGTACAAAATAGTTTTATTTACTTTTCCTCATCACTCAGCTGGCAGTTGGCTTGGACAAAGCAAGAAATGATCCTTCTCTTCTTGTTTGGGACGTCAGTGTTCAACCCAGTAGGTCAACACTCCATTTTTAAATTTATTTACTTCATTTTATTCTTGCAAAAAATGAATTAGTGGCAGCTTAAACCCTTAAAAAAGCTTATTAGCATAGTCATTCTAGAAATTACATACTAAAACATTGCACAATTTGATCATGTTCCACCGAAACTGTGGCTAGCAATCATCATTAACCCTTAAACACTTGAGAGTGACAGCCATCTAATTTCTCCTTTCAATGTCAACCCTGAATCAAACATTGAGATCATGAGACAAAAGGAAATGATCTCTAACTAAAAAAGGTCTTGATTGTTGAACAAATTCTCCCCCTAATACCACAGGATATATGCAAAGAACAGTATGCACCCGTACTGATGTAAGGGTGCAAAGGGATAAATTATCTTACAAAGACTTAGGAAAGTGGATGGTTTTTAAATTTCAAAGTTAACTTTGAGAATGAGTGAAAGAGTCAGGATTTAAGGGAGACGTTTTTCTATGTGGATCTGTTTATATAGATTGCACTGGGATGTGATTTAATATTGTATTCTATGATTTGTTTACTTTGATTTATTTCTGAATCATTTTTCTAGATTATACTTTGATTACTGATTTATCTTTGTTTTAGCTGTAAGGGAAAGTGGTAACCAAGAAAAGAGGTTAGTTCACAGGAACATTGTTGCTGCTCTGAGTTTTAACTTGAAAAACCTTATTCAGGTTAACAACCTGTATAGGAAAGTGATTGTGTTGAATAGCACCTGGTTTGTAACATTTTTGATCTAAATTTTTTCATCTCCAAATTATAGACACTCAGGAGTGACTGGTGGCAAACAATCTCCCATTACCGTAGGGACAAATTTCCAAGAGCCTTCACATGTGCAGAATAGGGCTCTTGTTGAACTATGTAAGCTGCTTCACCTTATATTATTACAATAATTATGACAGTCACCATGATTTTACCACAGTGATGGTGACTGTGCACTAGATACTTGACTTACCGGTATCTTCAAATTTTTATGGTTATTTGATGTGACTTTATCAGCTAATTTCTTGTCTCTTGTTTCTTGGCTCTTGTCAAACTATGTAAGCTGCTTTATTGTAAATTATTATGATAATTATGACATTCACCATGATTTTACCACAGTGATGGTGACTGTGCAATTGATACTTCAATTATCCTCAAATTTTTATGGTTATATGTGGCTTTATCTGCTAAATTATCTTCAACTGGTCTTATCCCCCCACCATGACTGTCTCAATCTGATGTACAAAGATCAGATCACAACACAGGGGTCTTTGCACCATACTCTTTGTAATTTGGAATTTAATGAATTAAGATATCAAAAGCTTATCCTTTCCCTCTTTCAAGTGCAAATTAAAGCACTATCTTCAATATTCCTAATGTATATTTGTAGCAGTATGTACTCTGTCTTTATTTACCTCATTCAGTGCACCTATAAACTTACATTGTTAGCACTTTATTTCAACTATGGAACATAAAGTGTAAAATTTTATAAATGAAAAATTATATAACTATATGAGACAGTGTTCCCCCTTATTTTAAGCATGATAGGTAAAAGAGATTTTTAAACCAATGGAGAAATCCTTTTACCTGTTGAATTCTCAAGAAATCCAAGTGAGTTGGGAAGAAGTGATGATGGTGGTGAAGCCAGAGCCATCAGCTTACAGTATTTAATAAATACAAAAAGACTTGAACCTCTCACCATTTGCAAACCTTACACTTGCTTTGTTTTCATTTTAATTGCTGCAGCCACTTCAGATATAACTGTTTCATTAGCTTGGTGTCCTTATGATTCTAACGTGTTGATCACTGGGCAGGGACCAAAATACATCAGAGCATTTGACATCAGAGGTGAGCAGAGTGTTAAATTGGTGGGGTGAAGTTCTGTCATAAGCAGACACATAGAATTACATAATTATGCTATAGACACTGCATTATATGGATTGATAAGCTGAATTATAAACACAATTTGATTGGTTCATACTTATGATCTGTTGGACAACAGACACATAGATGACATCACCATTAACAAAATTTTGCTCCTTTATCACATAAAACTGATTGATTCTATCTTGCTGTGGGTCTGTACCATGGTAGATCACAGAAAAATTGTTGAAATTTGCTAAGAACATTAGTGACACACTTGGCTGGGCTTTGAATGCCATGTTTTGTTCTTGTACAGATGCTCTACAACATGAAATCTATTTGTTAATGAGAGATAAATTTATGATGGACATTGCTCATAAGTGTCTGAACACCACGATTTTATATAAGTTTTAAGAGATACATCCTTTTTTGTCTAGCGGACACATTCCGTCCACAGAATGCTGCCGTAACAAAAGCAGTGTATGGTGTATGTTTTGACCCACTTGTTGAACACAGAATAGCTTCATTCTCTGGGGTAAGGATTAGAGAACTGTCACAACATATATTAAAGTAATATCACAGATGCATAAATACACCTCATTTAATGGTTTACACATAATACATGGGAATATTTTGTGTGTTGGGTGACAAATTTTTTTCCTACTCATTCTTTGTAAGTTTTTTCTTTGTAATTTTCCTAAGGATTTGGATTTAATATGGTTCACATGTGAAAACAAAACTGATACCACATGTAATTGTGAAGATTTTAGAGGTTGTGGCTTACTCAAATCCTCAACAACTACAGGGGTGGTGCAGTGCAAGGTGACAACAATTCAAACTCCACTTGGCCAATTTTAACTGATTTATTGACAGATCAAAATTGATAGGTCTAGATCAATTGGTAGCATTTGACATGCAGGGTCATAAACTTTAAGATAATGCAGATTGAAGTTTGTTGGCCTTAGTAGCAGTAGCAGTAGAAAGAATAGTAGTAGCTTTAGGTGCAGATTACATGTAAGTTGTAGGTTCAAACTGAAATACAAGAATTCACAATAGAGTTGAACTTAGATTAGGCTAAAAAGAAACAGTAGACTATCAAGAGACATAATTAAACAATAATAAAACTAGTGGAAACCCTAGCATGAAACAAACAGACGTAACAATTCTAGTGTTGTAAGAAGATACAAGCAACAGTATCATACTAAACACAGAGTAACTAAAATGAGCATAAAAGAATAACAATTTGAAAAGAAGTAAGGACAACTGATGGATAAGTTTGTTTTGCTATAATACTGTAATGATAGCACTTAGTTGACTATAAGCAAGATGTTCTGTGACCAAGAAAAAAAGCTGATGATTCTGCAACTTAATTAACAACAAAGAAGAGACTTACATACTTTGTTTGACAACTCACACCAAAAGAATAGCAAAGGCACTCTAGATATCATTTTCTTTATGCACGAAAAATGTGATACGCACCATTTGATTGGCTCTTAGCTTCTTCAACCAGCTTGTGAATGAAAATTTATTTAGTGCAGATTCAGTGTGTAAATCTTGGTGTACATATGATTTAGTGAAATATTATGTTAAGAAATATATACATTTTTTTTTTTTTGTAGAGTGGGCCTGGCGTAATTTGCATCTGGGATGATCGAAATTTTGAAAAACCTGTATCCTCTCTGTAGCACGAAATGGCTCAGATGTTGAATTTTTCTGGAATGGACTCCCATCTGAGAAAACAGGGATGATAGTTGGAAATCAAGTCAAATCTTGGGATTGCTTGAGCTAAAATTTGACCCCTGAGAAGCCACTGTCAAAATTACTGTTAACCAAGATATATGTAAACTATGTAATTATACGGACAGTTAACTTGAAAAGCTATATGTGGAAATTAGTTACTGTTGTCCACCTTTAAAAATACAAAATTCAATAATGTTTTTGTCCTAAAAACTCCAACTGGTGTTTCTTCTTGTGAAAGTTTATATTTTCAGTCCTACCTTAACCTTTTTCAGTTGATGACAATGAGTCAGTTATGTCCTGTGACAGCCATTTCATGGAGTCCAACACGATCTGGCTTAGTAGCCACGCTAGGTATAGAGAGCCCCACTGTGCAACTGTACGATATTCAACATGCTTCAGCGGGTAAGTAAGTAGACTAACATGTAGAGTCCATTAGGGAGCTAGTCTAATCAAAGATTCAGTGCAGAACTTAGAAGAGTGTAAAGCACTGTCTATCTTTCTAACCATGTAAGCCCCCCTACTTAAACAATCAAAAAATTAATGATTTTAGATATATGAAATTCACATATTTGCACTGTGGTGAAGAAACAAATCTAAGAGATCCACACAGCTAAGAACACTACTGAACTAGTAGTTGAAAATAGGACCTGAAAAAAATTCAGGCCCATACAAGATTTGAACCCATGACCTCTGCAATACTGGTACAGCGCTCTACCAACTGAGCTAACAAGCCAACTGGGAGCTGGTCAATTTGTTGGGTCCAAATAAACCATCCAAGTGATGAATAATGATTTTAAATATATGAAATTCAAAGGTCATGGGTTCAAATCCCATGAGGGCCTGAATGCAGAGTTTAACTTGATAAACCTGATTCAGTTCTTAAATTGAAATCTTTCCTCAGTTTCACCAACATATGGAGTTGGATACGAGATAGAACCATCTTTCATTGAAAGGAGTGTTAAGCGTAAGATGTTGTTTCCCATTGTTTATAATGATTTTCAATAAATGTGTTAAGTTGCCCAAGGGTGAATGAGTTTTTGAGATATAAGGGTGGTAAATCGTCAGTGAAATTCAGCACTTCTGCATGTTGACAAGCTGTAAGCTGTAAGCTATAAACATTTTATACCCTTGATGATATAATTTTCCATTGCGTGTTTGAATTGATATTTCACAAGGATGCACTGGCTGGAAATGAAATTATAGGCTGAAATTAATGTATTAAATTGGCTAATTTATCCAAGAGGAGTAAGTGGCGTAGTTCTTTTATGACCTTTTCTTTGTTTTGAACTGCTGCTTCTGTGCCTAAAAAAAAAAAAGAAAAAGAAAAGAAAAAAAGAAGGAACTGAGGCTTAGATAGCTTATTTGTTCATTCATAGAACAATGATAATAATAATAGTCATGCCTGTCATTATCAATGAGGTCTGTAAATCATGGTACAGTTGATACATGTAGTCCCTGAGAGTTGAAAAAAAAAATTTTTGTATATTTTTTATTTCATGGTGAACAGCATCAGGAACAGTTGTGTCTGCATTCTCCTGGCATCCTACACAAGAGAATCGCATGCTTACAATATCATCATCTGGTTGGTGAAAAGTTATGACTTCAGTTCTTCAACATTGGAAAATGTTGATAATATAATTTTTTTTGTTTTTACTCTTAGAACTTCTGTATTATTTATTATTTATTCTTCTTGTATTTAATATTTTCAGGATTGGTCCAAGACTGTACAATTTTTGAAAGAATATCTGTAGTAAGTTCAGTTGTCCATGGTAAAACTTATATATCACTGGGAAGGTGTGAGATATCATGATTGTTATATTTCACCGACTGTTCTACAACATTAAGTATGTTCTTTTTAAGTTAGTTTTTTTGTTGTTTTGTTACCCCTGCAGACTTGGTCCCCAAACTCCTATCTTACTTGGGGTTGTGGGAAGCATTTGCTGGAGTGCTCACAAAAGGTATGTCTGACCTTTACTATGTTATTTCTGTAGGCCTTGTTTGTCATCCAGGTTTATCTGCATGGAACTTCAGGCAGTTTGATATGAACCCTAACAGGTTTCTGGTGTGTAAACAGCATTTACTTTTTTTAACAACTGTTTGCATCTATAGACTGTACTATTCTCAAAATAAATGCTAGAGAAAAACAATGGATACATCAAATAGATGGATGTAGAAAAATCAAAATCAAAAAACATATTAACTATCTTTTTTCTGTGCATCTCTCAAAATACTTTTTTTTTTTCCTTCTTTCTCAATTTTTGGACAGACACATTTTACTTTGGCCATTGTAACCCTTTGACGCCAAAGAGTGACTAGCATTTAAATGTTTTGTTACTATATCGCCCCTGAACCAAACATCAAGGTCGCAAGAATAATGGGAATTATCACCAACTAAAGAAGCTCTTGATTGTTAAACAAATTCTTCTTGTCGGCACTTTTAGAAATGTTTTGAGAACAGTTTGGAAAATATACATACTGATGCTAGGTTATAAAGGGTTAACACTCTTAGTTTATGATCACAAAATATTTCTGTCTTCATGCATTCAAGTGTGTGCCTTGGCAGGGACAAAAGATGAAATATTATTTCATTAGTGTCCTAAATTTTTTTTTGTTATTATTTTATTAGACAAATGCTTATTTTGTTTGTGTGGTAGACTACAGAGGCAGCTTTAGAGGAAGATGTCTCATTAAAGATGAAGCGCAGAGCATTTGCAGGATATGGAATTGACTTTTATCAAGTGAGAGATGATGTTTGTATTTGAAGGGAGGCTTAGAAAAGAGCCCTGAATGGCTTAAGAGAGAGTACTAGATAATCTCTCCAAGCTGTATCCTTGTTTGAAACACATGGAGAAGTTGATCCGGTATCAAAAGTCACTTACTCCTAGTGCCTTATTTCTCTCAGCCATTCAATTGCAACTGTGAGGTGTTGGGATTTTTTGCACCTATTTGTAATAGATCCTAGTTTATTTACATATTTAACAAGTTGACCAGATTTTAAATGGGAGTTGATTAGTATTGATTGACAGTTAATGGTGATAATGATGATAATGATAACATAATGATGTCAATAGGCTGTTTTTTTTCTTTTTGGGCTTAACAGGCACAAGACATTGCAAGAATAACTGGAGATCCTAAGCTTGTCAAGCTGTGGTCATGGATTTATCGTATCTTTTTTTTTAATCATGTATTATGTATAGGTAGCAATGGAATTATCAGGCTCAGAAAATGATCTCTATATTCAGTCTATGTTGCTGAATGACAACATTTCAAATAATAGTACATAATATTATATATCAGTAAACCAAACTGAAGCATAAGATTTCAGATGGAGAAAAATCCACACAGCAACACAAAAAAGGTTTACAAAAATGTTCACAAAATCTTCAATTATCACAAATGGTGAATTTTAAGTGTATTTCTGTGAGCAGCTGTCAAACTAGACTCGCAAGGAATCACTTGGATTTCCATTTGCGTAAACAGAAAGGTGGCAAAATTCACTTATCAACTTTGACCCGTAAGGTGTGATTGGTGAATCTCCCTTCCAGTTTCTCTACGTTTTCTTGTAGTTTGGTCCTGTTTCAAAATAATGCCTTCACTTGCCTGGTGGATATTGTATTCATATTGCAAGGAGAAGATAAACATCAATACTGGTAGGAGTTAAAAGGTCAATATCTTTGCAACATTGCTCTTCCAAGGTTTTAGAAGAGGCTCAGTAATTTTGACTCTATCATTGACAAAACTGGAAGAAAAGGATGAAATGGGGAGAGAAATTGGCCAAAATTGTCACATGGTCATTTTTTTCTTGAAGAAACCTTAACAATATTTCAGGGGTAAAGTCCATGAGAGAACAAGGTACAATTCACTTTTACTCATTCATATATGCTAAGTGATGATCTTTAGTGTATGATTAAAGATGATGAGAAAATTTTGGAGGCTGAAAGAATGTTTCCTTTATGTAACTTTCTTTTCAGTGTGTAACTCCTTGTATGATCTTTTTTCAGATAAATCTAAAACTCTTAAATATGATGGCATCAAATCTATCATTGGTGGAGAGAATGGTGGTGGAGGTATATAAAACTTAAGGAAAACTACTTCTCATAGACTGTATTTTTACAGTCAAGTAATATTTCTTGTTACTGAGGGTTCAAATACCCAAGTTAAAGTTGCAGTGATACATTGACCATGCAAGTCCATAGGATGTAATTCAAAGGCCTACTATGATCACAATTTATATTCAAAGGTGCAACTGCAAGAAGTAAAGCAGACTCTTACCAAGAACAGCGTCTTGTAGCACCAGTGTACTACAGTGACGAAAGGTCAGAATCAAGCTTGTTATGCTTACTTGTAGTTGACTGTACCCTTGTTCCAGAAGGATGTTGAATTTTTTGTGGCACTTACAATTTATTGATGCAATCAAACCTGTATGAAATGGTGCCATATTAAGCAGTCACCCTGTATTAAGTGACTGGTTGTCAAAGTCACAAATGTGTTTCTCCTTAATCACTGTAATTTTCACCTCTATTAAGTGGTTGCAGTCACTCTTTACTAAGTCTCAACGGCCTGTTTTTATTGTTTTCCACCTGTATTGAACAGTCATTGAAAGTGGGACCACTCAAATGAAATTAAGAATAATCTTTCAAGTTATTATTAATCCATGTTTCTTTCTCAAAATCAATGTATTTAGTAGTATTTTTGAGGGAGATTTTGTACATTTAGTGGTCAAGTAGGGCATTAAGTAACATTGTTTAAAATATATTTTTTTTTATAATACCCCCCAATCTGTGGAAGCTGTATTAAGCAGTCAACCTATATTTAGCAGTCACCCAGCCATTCCCCATAGGTGACAGTACAGGTTCCATTGTAATTGTAGTTATTTCTGTGCAATTCCAGAAAGCTGGCTCTTTCTCTTTGTGGCTGGGATTTTAAAAGTTCTGGAAATACGCTTGCTGATTTTTTAAACAAGTAAGTGAAAAGCTTAGATTAAATGAATGAGCTAGTTTGTTTGACTAAGGTTCAAGCAATTGATGGTTCTAGGAATTTAAATGACTGAGTTTTGGTGCATAATCTTGGAATGGGTGAACAAGGCAAACTTGATTCATTCTATAGTTTTTTTCATTGTTTTGATGAAAAGTCACATCACTTGGCCTCAGCAATTTGTTAGAAGAACACTGTCCTTTTAATTTGTTTTACTAAGCCAGTGGAAAAGTGTGCATCATTTTGATAGTCTCTTAAAATGTTTTTCATTTTTGAATTCTTTTTAATAAATAAACGTATAATTTTCTCTTGTTTACAGATTGCAATCTTCTGGACAGTATGAGAGAGCTGCAGCAGTAGCACTTTTCAATAACAAGATCAGAGATGCAATTGAAATATTGAGCTCACAAGGGTCAAATGATTTTAAAGGTACTAAAGGTAATATCTTAATTAATACAGCATTCAGTTACTCTTTGGTTTAGACTTCACTCTGCACACAAACACACTCGCACTTTCATATAATCCTCTCTAACGAATAGAGTAGTTATTTTGGTGTTCTGATTGATTTCTGGTATTTTTCCAGGAAGTTCCCTGAATGTGGTTGCTATGGCACTGTCAGGGTATACAGAGGAAAAGAAGACTTTGTGGAGAGACATGTGCAGGTCACTGTGCGGTCAGGTGAGTTATAAAACACTAAATTATCTTTCATCAGGGATTCATTTTCACAAAAACAATTCTAGGCAAGATGCTCAAATCTCACAATACTCCGATCCACTCAGAAGTGTGAGTGGATATTTGTAAACTGACAGATGAACGTGACAAAATACTCATGTACTCTGAGAGGGAAGACTGGAGACTAAACCATTCAAGAGGAGTTTCAATCATCTTTAGCATTCCTCTGTCATGAGTGACCAAACAAAACATTGTTCTTTGAATATCAATTAATTTTGTGTGCACTTTGCATTATAGATGGAGAATCCTTACCTTAGATCAGCTTTTGCTTTTTTGACCACTGAGGCTGAACACTTAGAGAATATTTTGGTGAGTTCCTTCTTTAAATTTTAAATTTTCTGTATATATTGTAAGTTTTACCTGTAAACATGCCACAACCTTTTCGGTAATTGATTATAAGATTTGTACTTTAACACATAAATAGTTCTCAGTACAGAAAAAGGGTCTAAAGCTATTATTATTGTGCAGTGGGAAGAGAAGGTTTGTCTAAAATTGCAATACTACTGCAGTGTACTTCTTACACCTTCAACCCTTAAGAGTGACTAGCATCTAATTGCTCTTTACAATATCACCCCAGAATCATGTAGTAAGGTCATGAGAATAAAAAAAATTATCACCAGCAAAAGAAGCTGTTGATTGTTACACAAATTCTCCTTGTCAGTACCTCAGGGAATGTATAGGGAACAGTATGGTGAATACTTTTACTGATGCTAGAGTGTAAAGGGTCAAAAGATTGAAAATATGAATGTGCTCTCTTTGAGGCTGAGGAAGGAATTGAAATTGAGGACAGAGTAGCCTTTGCTTGCAAGTACCTTCCTGATCACAAGGTAGGAACACAGCATTTTTAAAACTGGAATCTTTGAATGCTAGTAAGGTGGTATTGACATGATAAGAAGCTCGATTGAGCTGCATGGAACAAAAAGTGAATTGTAATTTCTCACTATTTTCATATACCAGTTGTCCCAGTTTCTTGAAAACTTGTCAACAAAGTTGAGTAATGCTGGGGATCTAGATGGCATTCTGCTTACTGGTAGGAATTATTTTACTTCACCTTCATTCTGTGTTTGGTAAACATAATCTCTCTAAATGTTATGAATGAACTGAAATGAAATTGGAGAAAGATAAAAAAGAAGTGTATTGTAGTGTAAAATTTCCCTAGAAGTGAAGCAGACTGTAATTTAGGGTGAAAGAACTGTTTGTTCCAACAAAATAGCCTTTTGATGGCAATTAATCAATCAATGACCAAAAATATTTTAAGAAGAGTTTTCAATTTTCTTGCCTCATCTCCCTTCAAGTAGACAGGAAATGTTCAATTGAATAAGGCACAGACATTGTTATCTGCCAAAATTTATATGGTGGTTTAAATGAGTTTGAAAGCGATCTTTGCAGTAATGAACACTACTTATAAGCAGTAGCAAAAATGAGATTTTCATATATTCACAGGTACTTGTATGTACTTGTAAGGTAGTTTTAACATCAGTGCCAGAAGAATTAATATTAGTGAATTATATTTTCATAGAGTACTTTCAATTAACTGGAAGAAAAAATATATACAACATATCCAGTTAACCACTGACCAGAAAACTATGTTACTAGAAATAGAGAGTAACATAATTTGCTTTCATTTGTATTTACTACATTGTTAAGTTTCATTGAAGAAATGTAAAATGGTTTCTGTGTTTACATAGCCTGATGTAAACACATGGGAGGTTGGGAGAACTCAAGATAAGCGTAGGAAACCATGACGCAAAGCGGAGTGGTTTCCAGTTTATCAAGAGTTCTCTCAACCTCCCAAGTTTTTACATCAGGCTATGTAAACACAGAAACCATTTTACATTTCCTTTATAAAATAACTAATGAAAGAGGAACAAAAACCATGTTTATATACACTTGTGTAAAATGGTTTTATGGCCAATCAGAGCGCACTTACTATTTGAATTATTTTATAAAAATATACAACACTGTTTTTTATGCTACAATGCTATCAATATCAGTCAGTTCTGATCAATTTCTATCTTTTGAATAATTATTGTCTTTATCCCTTAGGAATTTCAATGGATGGAATAAACTTAATAGAAAAATATGTAAATAAGGTAAAGTCTCCCTCTCTGTACTTCACACACATAAAGATTATTTATATTATCTTTGTGTATTAAGTTTTTCAGTCTATATGGTACATCTGTCCTAATGGGATAAGCCCACACAGGTCTTTTCTCTCAGTTTCTTCTATTTTTTTTATTTATACATTTATTTTTTCAAGGGAATTTTAGAGGGTTTGTCTCTCTCATAGAGTAATCTAATCAGATTCCTTAAACCAGCTAAACCCTCCAAAACTTGCTTCACTTCCAAGCATGTGGGTTCAAACCTTACTGAAGCAGGAATTTTTTTCCACAGGTCAAACAAAATTTATTTCATCCAATAAAAACAGAAAAAAGAATTAGAGATTGTTCAAGTACCAACACAGAGCTTGAGAGCAATTGTGTAATTCCTGGGTCTCCAATTTTCCTCACTCTTGAGACAATTTATTAAGAGAAAACAGAAGGTCTGGAAGTAGACAAGTGATCTCCCATATATATTTTGTTGTGGTTGACATTTGGTTTTCTTAACAGACAACAGATGTTCAAACAGCAAGCTTGGTCTTTGTCAACTGTGTAACTCATATCTCCAGTGAAGTATTCAAAGATCCTAGAGTTTTATCATGGATAGAAAAGTAAGACCACAATTATTTTTTCAGAGAAAGACATTCATCTATAAAGCACCACTGTTTACAGTTGCACTTTCAAAATTTTAAATATTGATCTGAATGTTTTGGTATTTTCAGTTATAGAAGTCTGCTTGACATGTGGAGGCTCTGGCATCAAAGGTATTGTTCGATAGGGAAGAATCAGTAAATGATTTCCATGTTTCTTGGGGAAATTATTCAATAAGGAATTGTTTCCTCACGTTGTATTGCTAAGACTAGCTGCATTTATTGTAGTTATGTAGTACAATAGCTATAAATATATAAAGGATTATTAATAGCTGTGGAAGAAAATGGTTCTCTCTTTTTGTTAATTGTCCTATCTGAGAAAACAACATTGTCAAGGCAAGATTTGTCTTTTCAGTTTGTTTTCCAAGAGGTAATAAGCCTTCACATAAATCTATCACACAAAGTTTTCCAGTTTTCTTGTTTTAGAAAGGGGCACCAATGGGCATCTTGTGAGGGAATAAAACCAACAGAGATATGAAGCCACATGCTTGAAGTGAAGCAAATGCTTATAAGTATTTGTAAAATATTGAGTTTTTTTTATCCCTCGAAGGAAATATGACCATGATTCATATATATGTTGTGTCCTTCAACTTTTGTTTATTCAACAATTACTTTTATTTTCAGGTCCCTGTTTGATATTCATTTTAACTTAAAAGATTCCACCCAAAGGCCTCCTCAACAAGTGTTTGTTTCATGTAATTTTTGTGGCAACTCCATCATTACTAACATGCTATCAACAAGTAAGTGCTAGTCTGTCATAACATTTTATCTTCTCTTTGTCTATTGCCATCATTTCTTGAAGTGATATTATGAGCATTTACCTGGATCCATTTCCTAGCTCTCCAAATGATTCATGTCCTCATGTGGTGTTCCATTTTAAAGGCTGTTCTAAAAAGGCAAATATTGATTTGTCTGATTACATAACTGATTCGTCATCTGTAATTTGCTGAATGCTGGTTCTTTTGTACTATTTTTTTTTTGTGGTACTCAATAAAATTTGTTTTGTGGTACTCAATAAAATTTCCTACCCCTCTCACATAAGGTCTCCTTGATTGAGCTCTACTCACCCCACTCTACTTAAAATTCTTGGCATATGAATTATATCGCAACACTGTACATTCACATTTACTGTAGGAAGTGTGCTTGCACTACAATTTAAATGTGTTGCTATATGAGTAAAAACATATAACCTTTAATGTAATAATGTAGTGAAAATTAATTGTTGAGCTAACTTTTTATCACTACTGTTAGGTTCAAGGCCTCGTAAACTCGCACAATACTGCAATCCCTCAAACAGAACAAAGGTGTGTCATTACTCACAGAAGAGGCAGCGTGATAATGCTGTGTTTTTGCATGGCCCACAGCTAGCCTTTGGCTTATCTTTTTTACCTTCTTTGACAGTTTGTTGGCATGAACAACAATAATTATTGTTGAACACAATTCCATTGGTTCTTTACCCTGAGAAAGACAAACTGTCCTGGTGCGTTCCTTACACCCTTACCCATTCTCATATCACTGACACCTTATGAATGTCAAGAGCTGTCTGTCTAGCCATCAGTTAATATGCTGAAAGGCATATCAATTTGGTCAGATTCATTAATTTTTCTGTCTCATTATTTGTGATAATAACAGGGGCTAAAACCTTTTTGGAACACCAAAAAAGAATCTGGAATGAACAGAGTAGTACATTACTAGCCACTCAGCTACCTTTTAACTTGTTGAGTCAGCTTATCATACCCAAGAAGTAACAACAGTCCAATCATCAATCCCTATCATGACAGCTCATCAAAAAACTTGTGAAGTACACAGTCTAACTCCATGAGTTTGAAATGTACTGAAGCAGTTTGACTTTCTACTTCACAAGTGTGCAGACAGCTAATCAGTACAAGGGACTTTTAGCAGTCTGTGAGGAAGACATAGACCAAAAAAAATATTTATCGTGTGTTTCAGATTATGGCTTGTCCAGGTTGCCGTAAGCCTCTTCCAAGATGTGCTCTCTGCCTAGTTCACATGGGAACATCTTCATCACTTTCACAGAAGCCAGCAAATCAAGGTCAAGAGAACTAATATATTTACCAGTATATAAGTTAACCTACAACTGCAAAATCACAACTGAATCTTTCAGTTCCTCTTCTTCTTAGAGAATCTTATCTACATGGAGACTTTTATTTCAGTTGGTGTTCCACACTGTTACTGGAAGTAAGATAGTTTAAACAAAAGTGTCTCTGAAATTCAAATGATGCACATGTAAACAAAACTTTTGAGCTCAGGTGATATAACCACCTTTGATTATCAGCTAAAAAACAAATACTTAATACAAATACTTAAATCTTTTCTTTAGGAGATTCAAGTGCAGAAAAACCAGCAAATGTGCGAACTGTCAATCCATTTCATAACTGGTTCACATGGTGCCAATCATGTCGTCACGGTGGACATTCCAATCATATAGTTGAATGGTTTAAGTAAGTGTGAAATTGGAGATTTCAGTTCTGATACAGATGTAACAAGGGAAGTAAAATAGAATTCTCCTAAAGTAGCTAAATATTAATGGTGGGGGTACCTTGACAAGCATACCTCTTCCCTTGTGCTTTTAGACCAGGCCAACTGAGATGATTTCTTCAAAACTGATGTTCAAGGGTGGGTGGCCCTCCCTCATGCCTTATGAGTCTTTCCCTTCTCCTTGCTACCTGGATCAATCTCTTTTCATTGGAATTGAAGTTTTCGAATTTCATTACATTAGTGTGTACTATGAAGTGAAGACAATAGAAAAAAATTTCCAGGCACTGGATTAAAACTTTTTGGGAAGAGTGCATATTCTCCTATAGTCCACAACTTGTTTATCATGTAAGGGTTTTCTTTCAAAGTGTTATTAGTTTGTTAGTCACTTAAGTGTTAGATTTTGTTTCTCTCATTGTGCTAAGGACTTTTGCTACCCTTTGTAGAGTTAAATTGTTTATTTTTATCAAATGATGTATGTGACTGTTAACATTCTGGATTCCTTTTCAGGGAACATATTGAATGTCCTGTTACAGGATGTGGATGTCACTGCATGAACTTAGATTCTGTTGCCATGGCAATGCCAAACAATGACATTTATTCAGTAGCATGAGTGGATAATTATTTTTCAAATAATGTCAAAAAAATTAGACTCAGACTAGCCATTTCTGACGTTTACAGTGTTATCTGGAAAATATTTGTGAAGACACCTTTACAAAATGTTGCTCCTATGTCTGAAAGAAAATATTTTTTCTTTTTCATCTCAAAAATTGGATTTATTTAGTCCTCTACTAATTCAGATATTGCAATTTAATTCATTCTCTACTCTAACAATGAAAAATTACTAGGCTTTTTTTAAAATTGTAATTGTATATATATATAAATTAAGTTATGAATCAGTGAACTTTTCTTTTTAATTCTTGGCTCATTGCCCCTAGAACTCTGGTGTGAATTTTTTTTATTCATCATTAGTGGGAAGCACTGATGTGAGACAAAACCATTATGCTTGAGTTACAGTAGACTGATTTTAGGCCTTCTAAGTGTTCATGATTGAAAGCAGCTGTAACCATTACTGGGATAGTTGATGCAATAATATTCCCTTATTCACTTTGAAGCTGCACTTAAAGTCAAATTTCATAAGTTACCATACTTAACTGCAATATTCCCTTTCCTCAGTCTGTGTTTAACAGTCACATTATAAACAGAGCATGACATTGGATAAGGAAAGCTGTGGCAGAGTGTTTTAAGAATGAGTGGTAAATTGGTATATTCTTCTTTGTTACTATTTAAAGGGCAATGTGGAATCTTCTTAGACAGTAACAGCAGACACATTTCACCCCAATTTCTTCTGTCACACAAACATAATTGGCAGTTTTCATATGCAGATAATTGCTGTGAAGACGTCGTGAAATAAAAAGTACTTCAGTCAACAGGTCAATCATTTGCATATGGCTGCTTCCATTCATGTTTGTGTCACAGTAAAGATGAGCCTAAACTTTAACCAGGTTCATTGTTTATTAACTAAAAGGATCAGCCCTGTCTGAAGTATCTAGTGGTGTTTTTGTCAATCTCTCTAGAAAAGTATTTTACACATCGCCTACCGCTAATTTAATTAAAAATTCATGTGATTCCTTAACATTTGTTAATTGTAAGGAAAATCTCAAAAAATCCAAATCAAAGATATTTCACAAAGGGATTCGTTGAATTAAAATCATTGTCATAAACAAATGTGGTTTTGATCAAATTGTCAACAGGTAAAATACCTCGCCAACCATACATTGACTTATCCCAGAAGGTGTATGGACTTGCTCCCCCTCCTGTGATCAGAACTAGTTGACCTTGAATCCACGTTAGCTCGTTGACCTCTAAGAATGAGTAGTATCTAATTTCTCCCTACAAATGTCACCCTTGAATCACATATTAAGGTCACAAGAACAAGGTAATTGATCATCAACTAAAGAAACTCTTGATTGTTAAACAAATTCTCCTGATCAGCACCATGGGAAATGTATAGAGAACATTATGGAGAATGTGCTTACTGATGTTAGGGTGTAAAGGCTTCAGATTAAGGCCTTTGAAAGAGAAAGGTGTTTTAAACTATTCTTTCCCCAAGATTTAAATACCAATTTTAACTGTGTCTGCCATACATTTGCTATATATATGCCAAATAATTTTTTTGTGAAATCCAATGATATACCTATAATTTATTTCTTCTTTTTACCTTTCTGTATTGAGATTTACTGATATTGTGAAAAGAAATTTCTTCTGGGTCACTGTTGGGAGTGAAACGGTTACATATTACAATATCACTCAAGAATCACACAATAGGGTCACCTGGCAAAAGGAAATGATAATAAATAAGCTCTAAATTGTTAAACAAATTCTCCCTGTCAACAACTTTGGAAATGTAAAGTAAGGAGAATATACTGAGACGAAATGGGAGACAAGATGTAGAATTTCCATTTATTTGGTAAAAGATTGTAGCTCTAAACTACTCTTCAATAAAAACAGTGAGGGTTTACATGCAACCATATTTTCCTTCCACATTGTGTCTTGTTTCTTTTCCATAACAGTTGCAAACATCTCCACCAGACCGATAGAGAAAAACAAATCTTAGTCTCAAATAATGAGCAACACAATGCGAGGTGTTGGTCTGGAAAAACATGAAGACTAGTCAGCTAGGAGTCTTTTTTTAGGTTCATTTAACAGCCTTTACTTTCTGGTTCATGACGAGGGAATAACTTCATGTTTTTATCTGGTTAGTGGCCAAATCCATTCAACTGTGTAGATCCAAATATTTCAGGGAAGTCAGCAGCTAATGAAACGGCTTGACTATAGGCATCCAGGTCTATTGACAAAAATAATTCACATAACTGTAAAATAGAACCTCTATTTTATGTTTCCACCAAATAAAAGAAGCAGAAGGCAACCAAAAAAAAAAAGCTTAAAAAAAATTGACATAAGTACAGTTAATCTCAACCACTTATTGAGTTGAAAGCCATATTTACCATAACATCCATTAACCCTTCAACTCCCCTGATCAGATTGTTAATTCTCCCCTCGAGCTGCTAAACATTTCCTTGTAAATCAGTTTCTAGAATTCAGAGTTGGACCATGATAACTTTCTACCTGATAAGTTTGAGTATTCTCACCACCTGTCCGCTGGATAGTTTATAACTTATTATAGGGAGAAGTTACATGTTTATCACTTCTGGGAGTTAAAGGGTTAAATCATTGGTAAGCAGAGGATTATATCTAAAATCACATGACAAAAGCAGAAGCATCGTTACCAAAATCATTGCTGTATGGAATAATTCTGTGTCCTGACAGCGAACAATTGTTCTCTACTCTTCCTATAACCTCCACTGCCCCTTGGAGCTTTTCATCAAGCTAAAAATTTTATTTAACAGAGTAAGTAATCAGAATGTGTTCTTTGATACTGAGTGAACAACTTTTCATTTGAATTAAAAATATAAATCATTTAAAGATAGGACTTACTGGTACATCCAGAGTGACTTTGACAACCTTGTGGTCACAAGCCATGAGCTTAAGCTCAGCACCATTTGAACTGATCTGCAAGAAAAACAAGACGAGTCTTAAATTGAACCAGTATAGAAAAAACTGAATTGCTGAATTATAACCCTCGCATTCACCACCTGAAAATTGAAGAAAAAAGAACATGGATAGTCAGGTCAGGAGCCCAGTCAATCCTACCAAAGCTAATTCTGGTCTATATGTTTCTTCCTTACATTTCCTTGCATTTCTTTGCAGTTAGCGCACTGAACTCCAAGAAGAGAGGTCCAGTTCCAAACCAAGCCGGGTCATTGCGTCTCTCCACCCAGGAGTTTAAATCAGTACAGGCAAACTGTTAGGGAGGTCCTGTGAAATGCTAGGGGGGTAACCTTGCAATAGACTGTCATCCCATCCAGGTGGGAATAGAAATACCCCTGGATACTTGATACTACAGAAACCAGGATAAGCTCTGCTTGAATAGCCACTGGGCTCAAGTGCAGACATAACCTGTGCATTTCTTCTGGTTGCCCTGACAATTTATCAGTTCCCCACTTTTACTCCTCAGTGTACATGAGTGGTGAGTGTAAAAAATTAAAAAGGAACACCATTACTATGATCACTTTTCAGCTTTGAATTTGGTCATAACAATAAGTAGCTAGTCAGCCAAAGAAGATGGTAGGAAAGAAAGAAAAAGACTGAGGCTGAATGAAGAGGTGAATAGAAAAACAGCATGAATACAAGAATGAAGTGGTTATATTTGACAGGCAATTATACAACAAGAATCCAGGAAAGATTTATCTATAACCCTATCTATTCTCAAACAAAGATGTATGCCCAAAACTATTGTATGGTTTTCACTGTTGTGTTTATCCAAGAACTGGTAAATTTTTTTTTTTAAAAAGAATGATCTTAAAAAATTATGAGCTATCAAATGCCTGAACTGCAATCTTCAACAGTGAAATGTGAATGACAAGAAGCGGAAAATCTGAATAAAAAGAGTGAAATTGTTAAATAATAATACAAACAATTATGAATGTTTGTTAAAAATAATGTTGTATTGTCCAAGCAGTGGACATAAATTATTGCCCACATTGGGAGTCAGTTTGGTATTCCAGGTTTCCAGTGTCTTTCCTATTCTAAAACCACCTTTACCAATTATAGAAGCGTTTTCAAAGTCAATATTTTCAAAATCGTGATCATCATTAATCCAGGATAATTATTAATCCAGGAACTGTTTGCATAATTAAGTATGGGGCTAAGTAGAAATCTTGCGTAAATGGCATCCATTCGTTCGGGAATTTTTATTTTGCGGCTCAGTCACGTAAAAGTGAGCAAACGTACAGCAATAATTAAGCCATTCTAAACTTTATTTGAAAATAACAGACAGTAAGTGAAGACTAAGACATTCAAATTTCGTCACGAGATCGAATAATGGTCATTTCCAATTCCCCCTTCCAGCCTCTCGCAAAGAATTAGCTATTTCCCCACAAAAACCCCCACTAGGTACAGCCATGCATGAATTATCAATTAGCAATCTACCTCTTTGCCGATCTAGAATAATAAAATAATATACTTATTAGCTGCAGTTAGTATAACATCGAACATCGAGTGTAGACCTTTCACACTCTTTCTTCGTACTTACCTCTGTTACATTTCCCACAAGACAAACAGTTTTCCCAGAATATTGGGTTAACATAGAAGCATTGACTCTCGGTGCCTCCATGTCAAAAACACGGGGAATGATCGAGGAAATTCCAAGATCTTTGTGCCAATAAATAAAATTCTCAACTTCGCGGAATAACTGATAATTTTGGCGCGCTGTTCAACTAGTACTTAGTCCCTTTCGTACAAATTGAAAGGCTAGTTACCAAGTTACCAGGACCATGAATCATATAGAAGTACTTCATGTAATTCGCCTAATTTGTCTAGAGGTCTAGCCGCTATTTTTAGAACACCCGTTGTCACGTTAGTATCTCTAGGAACTAGTGATCATCCATTTTGTCGTCATTGCAATTTCTGGTTGTGCCTGTTATGCTGCAAGCAGCTGGACTTGGAAATGAGCTTCCTTTCTAGTATTTACGCGAAGGTTTTGGGAACGAACTCAAAGAAATCGGAGGAAACCAGTTCGGACGGTGGAAACGGTTTCGCAGAAGCATACGACAATGAAGACGGCTTTGTATTGTACACTCCTTATCAAAACAAGCGATGCAAGGTATGGAACACAATTTGTTTCCTTAAGCTAGCTCTAGGAAGAGGAGAAATAACTAGAGTAACAAGGTCAATCTTAGGAGCTAAGTTTCTTGATTTTATTGGTGTAAAATAGCGTGTGCCTTATTGATTAGATTAGACCGTTAGGTGGAAAGAACTATGTCGGATCTTTCGACACAAGCTTAAACTGGATCTTCAGTATTCGTGTTTATCTCGCTAGCAGTATTTTTTGAAATAGCCTCACATCTTTCCAGGTGATTTCTTGGATTACAGGCCAAAGTTATATATAATTTTTCAAATCATGCATTATTTGACTGATAATTATGAAATATTTGGTTATAAAAACGCTGTTGAGTAGTTTCCTTGTCCGCATCGACCAATGCTTTTGTGGGTGATTTCACTCCACACCATAGGAGACGGAAATGTTCAACAGAATTTCCTTATGGACATGTGGAAAGTCACCTGTATAGTTTGATTTTGTTAAGAAGTCATAAGCTATTGAATCTATGGAATCAGATAAATAAACTGCAGTGAGCCTCAGGGATTGTTACTCAGTAGTACTTGTTCTTTGCTGATCAACTGAAGACCCCAGCATACCCAAGTCATACTTCAGAGTGGGCTTGAAATCCATGTTACCTAAAAATGATTTGAACAATTCTTACTCAATCACAAGAGACTTGATTTTTGCAAGTTTTGGGAAGTGAAAAAGAACCATTAAGTTAGATGTGACAGAGTAAAACCCAACTCTGGAGGTGAAGAAAAATGCTGTAATTCATATTTTCCTATGTTGCTATATAAGGTGTGAAGTGAAAAAGTGAAAAGTCTCCTCCCCGTTTAAATATAAAGCGTTCTAATCTTAGATTTGACTCATTGGATTATTATCTAAGTTTTTTCAGTTGAGGCTTGATAAATGTGCATTTTTTATTTTGAAGAAAGTTTGGTCTTGTCATACCCTTGGTAGAATAATTGTTGATTCAGTTTTTTTTTAGGTAAAATCAGATTTACTATTTCCCCGTTCCTACAATTCAACACCAAAGTTTTCCAAACCAAGCTCTAATATATTGTTATTAGTTACCTTTTTCTCCTTTACCAATTCCTCAATCGAAAGAGGGTGGCAAAGATTTTATATGCAATGAGTAATAAAGGCCAAAATTATTAATATTTGATGCATGAATATTAAAGAAAAGTGAGTTTGACTTATGTATTTATGAACCAATATGTGGCATGATTTGAGTCCTGAAATATTGGTGACCCATGAATGTTTTGTCTTATATTGTGGAAACCTCAAGATTTCCTTGAAACATTGTACACAAGAAGAGAGATATGAAGGTTTCCCTTTTAAATACATGTACATGACGCATGACTTTTTTGAAAAATTGAGCTTGAAACGGGATCAGTTTCCCCCTTTGCTACCCTCTCAAATTATGCAATATTTTTCAATCAAAAGAAATCTGTAGATGCTCTAGTCTCCTATTTTCATGGTCATTTTTCCTGTGGGAAATCTTGATTGTAGACAAGATCCTGAAATTATTTGAATTAAAATAAATTTTTTTTCATTTTTGTAGCAATCTGATTACAACCCTGAATCTAGAAATGTGAAAGTGTTTGAAAATTACCAGAAGAGCTGTTCATATCCACCAACAGGTAACTGTCTTACAGATCTCTTACTTCCGTTTTCCTATACCTTTGTCCTTTCCCTGTTAATTTTTATCACTCAACAAACTATTTTTATGTAAATTTTTCTGTTTCTAATATTTTTCTTTAAAATGTTAATTTTCAAATATTAATTTTTCAAACTGAATTGTTACTAAACAAAGAAACAAAACTGAAAATGTTTTTTATATCATCAATATTTCATATTTCTAGAGAAAGAGGAAAAACTTCATAGTAGCCTTAAAAAAAAACGGGGCAGCTGTATGATATAACTGCCCCGTATTTTTAAGGCCATTAAGAAGTCTTTGTTCCTCTTACCCTAACCCAATTAAGCCCTCTGATGTCCAAATTCATTATTATGTGCAGGGCCATAACCCTATAAATCTAAAGATCTAGACTAAAATTCTCCCCACCAACTTCTGCACATTTTCTTCTAGGTAAGTTAGGAGAATTAGGTACAGATTTAAAAATGACTTTCTCTAGTTCTTATAGGCCCCTATGTGTGCTTTTCTCTGCCTAAAACTTGAGGAATAGTTCCCCCCCCCTCCTTGGGTTACTTTATATCTACTCTGTTCATGTCGCACATTTTTGTCGGCTCAAGTCATTTCTAACTTGTGCTTTGTTAACTGATCTCTAGGTTCAACTGCTTACACAACATCTACTTCAAAGACAGCATCAAAAAAGAACACAACTTTCATTACAGTCTCTGATATTCCAATGGAACTGTCTAAGCAATTGCAAGCTATTTTACACACAAATCAAAGGACTGGTAATGTCCTGAGAAAAGCTTTGCCAAATATCGATCAATACAATTATGACTTTTCACTGGAGAGAGCTGTCATCAGTTCATTAGAGGGGATTTCATGACTTTTTATCAAGCTCTGGAACATTTGCAAATTTGATTTTGCGTCACAAAGACTTCATGGATAAGTCAGGACATTAGTGTTGAATCCTTTCTCTCCCTGAAGGGAAAAATCTGTGGACTTTCTGCATATGTTACTACAACATCATTCAGACAATGAGTAGGGCTTAGAAAATTACATAATACCAAATTCTCAAGAATAGCCATCATTGGGATGTGTGGTCATCTATTAGGAAAATTAGCCCATTATTAGTCGGACCAGAGTAAAAGGGTTGAAAGATTGAAACAGACAGCATATGGACTAGACTAGACTAGAAAGTAAAACAGTCAGATTACTTGACGTGTCTTTTGTAATTACAATAGCATGTAGTACAGGTGTCTTGTTAATTTCTTTCTTTCCCCAGCCTTCCTCTTACAATCAAAGATAGCGTCTATAATTTTCACTGAGAAAAATACTGAGCACTCACTCCCTAAAATTACATCTGCTCTTCAGGCTACAATAACTAAGGAAATCTTTTGATATAGCTTAAAACAATTTCAGTATTTTTAAACATCTATTATTTGATGTATACTGGCTTCCACATTTTTCATTTTTCTCCTTGAAATTGTATGAAAAAAACTCAATCATTTCACTTCAAGTTTTAATTATTTTTCTTACAATTGGGGTTACTATGGCAACATTACATGCTCTTAAAACAAGCTTTTTTTGCCGCATATTTTTTATGTCTAAAATAAGTTTGCTGACCCTCTTTTTTTTAATCACTGAATATTAATCAGTTGCAAAGTTACATAAAAAATTTGTACAAATAGTTCAGAGCCGCCCTAATTCTTTTTAATGTAAAATACAGCTTTGTAATAGATGTAGGTACATGGCATTACCTGCAAAGATAACCTTAAAACATACAAATGTTTTATCTTGTGTGACAAAATGTTTCTCTGGATTGACAATATTTTACGTTATGTTACGAAATGACTCCTACCCCAGGAACAAAATAAACCCTCTTAGGTTTGGTATCTGGAGGTTTCATTTTGATCGAAATGTATTATGATTTTGGCAGAATACGTTCTGCTGTAAAATAACGAGTGGAAAGATTTGGGGGTGAGCGAATAAAGGCGTGGGCGAAGTCGCCTTACTTCGAGGGGCGAGCTTACAATGGGAAGAAACCTCCATAAACCCTTAGTTACCCATTTTGATTTTCTGAAATCTTGCAATGAACTTCATGATGTCTTAAATTCCCTATGGGCCAATTTCCACAAGGTATTATATTCTCTTAAAGCAGACATATTTCGTTCTAGAGAATCTAGATCATGATGAGCTATAGTATTAATTCTATCAGCCATGAACCACAGCCATTCATCGTTTAGCCATTCGTTTAGCCATTCATCTATGGAAAGTTGTCTTAATCAATCAAAGCACCACATTTTCTAATATTTCCCATAATTGAATCAATTTATGTTCTGTCAACTTTTGCCTAAAGATACGAATGCTAATTTGTCTAATTTGTACGACCAGTTCTAAAAATCTACCTCGCTTGACATCTCAAAGTTGTGCGCTGAACGAGGAAATACGCACTAATCTGTTTTTGAAAAGACCAGCTTTATATTGAATCACCAGCAATGCTACTCAAGCTGACTGCAGGCCTGTATGCAAAGTACCGCATGTTGTTACCTTTTAGACGTCATAAACTTATCTCGTTCACTTTAAAAAAAAAAAATTGTCGAAATTTCGTGATAGACATCGTTATAAAACAATCTGTCTTTTGGTAAGGGTGAGTACATTGAAACAGTAAAACTAAACAGAGAACTTGCAATTTCAGGAAGGAGTATTCGACGCTCAGGTATTAGTTAGAAAAGCTCTGATTGTTGTGGTCCTAATTAACCAGTGAAATTTTACTAGAGGAACTGTTTCACGTTTTACAACTATTTTGTCGTGAGGAAACGAACTCGCCATTCTCAGTTAATCATAGTAGGCTCCAGCAAAGTCTAATCTGGTCTGTAATCAAACGAGCGACAGACAAAATGGGCGACCTTTGTTGAAAAAAGGGCGACGGCGCTGTTGGAGATCAACTCGCTTAATCAGAGTTAATTTCGAAGGTGATTCAAGACACGAAAGGTTGTTAAGAACTAGAAGGAAAGTTCGTTTAAAAGGAAGTACAAGTACAATTTAACAACCAGGACATAACTTTTAGAAAATTTCAATGAGGTTTTTCGAAGGAATTACACAAGAACCAAGAGAATATATTCTCTTGGAAAAAGCCAAGCGTATTGCTCAGCAAGATGCCGTGCCGATTGTTTGTAAAAATGACAATCTTCCAAGACGGTTCTAAAGTTCTCGTCTCTGGCGGAAATATTATTAAAATTAATTTCATAGCTTCAATTTTTAGAACATTACGTTCTGTGGATCGAATCACAGGAAGAACCGAGTTTAAAACAGGCTCAAGCTACATTAGTAAATGATATCCTATAAGATTGAGGATCGAATTCGGCCGGCGTTTTTTAACTATCCACTTATTGGCATAAGTTACGTTATCACGCATAGGATGAGCATATGTCTGTTAGACTGAGTCAGCGTCTTTGCACGTGTATCATAAGTGAAATTTTATTATTAAGTTTAACCTTTAACCAGACACAGAAGCCGCTAAGACTTCTTAGCGCCAAGATCATACGCCCGTTTTAGTGGCGTCCGCTCCGGCTGGGCTGAAAACCGAGCAGGTGCTGAAACCCACACGATAGTGAAATAAGCAATAGAGTAAATATCTCTTTACAAACACTTCTACTCGACTGTAGCAATAGCAACTTGAAAGATCACGGAATTTTTTTGCTTAATTGCACTATATCTTTTTTGATAGCAAAGAGAA